CCCTCCCCTCCCCTCCCCTCCCTTTCCATCCCCTCCCTTCCCCTCCCCTCCCCTCCCCTCCCTTTCCATCCCCTCCCTTCCCCTCTCCTCCACTCCCCTTCCCTTCTCTTCTCTTTTCTGTTCTTTCTTGAGAAGAAGTCTCGATCTCACACCTGAGCTGGAGTGCAGTGGCTCACTGCAACCTCCACCTCCCAGGTTCAAGTGATTCTCCTGCCTCAGCCTCCCGAGTAGGTGGGATTACAGGTGCACACCACCACTCCCGGCTAATTTTTGGTATTTTTAGTAGAGATGAGGTTTCCCCAGGTTGGCCAGGCTGGTCTCCAAGTCCTGACCTCAGGTGATCCGCCCGCCTCGGCCTCCCAAGGTGCTGGGATGACAGGTGTGAGACCCCACATCCTGACTGAGCACGCTTCTCGAATACAAACCCCGCAACCCTGAGCTCACATGTTGAGCCCGTCGTCCAGCCCATAAAGCTTTCACACTCTGGGCCGTGATCCAGCCGCCCCGTGTGTGTCCTCCCACTGCACGGGTCCCTCGGAGCAGCTCCTGGCTGGTGGAAGGCTCTTTGCAGGCTGGGTAGCTTCTTCAAGGTGATGACCACTAGTCACTGTGAGTAGAGGGAGATAGAGTTCAAGATCCCCCTTGCCTGGGGAGCAGCTTGGGCAGAAAATCACGGAGCAGGCGGCCGGGGCTGGAGGTGTCTGTGGTCTTCCACGGACTTTGTGTACCTGTGGCTTGCCACGGCGCTCTTCACTTAGCTGTTGGCCACGCGCACCAGCACAAGATCACACGGTAACTGTGTCCGCGTGGGGGCCTGGAGCGTGGGTCAGCGCAGCCAGGAAGACCAGCTGGGTTCAGGGGCCTGCAGACGGTCACGTCACCATCAATCCCACACATGGCGGAAGGACCAGGGGCCCAGGTCGGATTCTTCACGGGTCCATGGTGGATGGAGGGTGAGCCGCGTGTCACGGGCTCACCTCTGAGGGTCAAACACACCTTGTCCACTTCGCCACAGGTGGGGCCGGGGCTCTGGCCAGGCAGTGCCTTTGTCTGTACCCCGGATGTCACGTCACCGTTTTCGACCTCCCAGAAGTGGTGAGGACGGCAAAGCAGCACTTCCCACTCCCGGAGGAAGAGCAGGTTGGCTTCCAGGAAGGTGGGTTTGTGTCTCTTCGGGAAGCACAGACGTGTCTGAAGACGTCTTTGATTTTTATTAGTTTGACACACAGTGTCGCTCCGTGGCCCAGGCTGGAGTGCAGTGGTGTGATCTCAGCTCACTGCAACCTCCTCCTCCCGGGTTCAAGCGATTCTCCTGTCTCAGCCTCCCGAGTAGCTGGGATTACGGGCACACGGCACCACGCCTGGCTAATTTTTTTGTATTTTTAGTACAGACGGGGTTTCTCTATGTTGGGCGGGATGGTCTCGAACTCTTGACCTTGTGATCTGCCCGCCTCGGCCTCCCCAGTTAGCCAGGCTTTGCCGCAGGCACCTGGGGCCTCCCAGCTACTCCGGACGCTGAGGCAGGAGGATCGCTTGAACCCGGGAGGCGGAGGTTGCAGTGAGCAGATATCACACCACTGCACTCCAGCCTGGGCCACGGAGCGAGACTCCGTGTAAAAAAAAAAATAGAAAGAAAAAAAGTCCTTTTGGCAGGGCGCGGTGGCTCACGCCTGTCATCCCAGCACTTTGGGAGGCCGAGGCGGGCGGATCACCTGAGGTCAGGAGCTGGAGACCAGCCTGGCCAACATGGTGAAACCCCGTCTCCACTAAACAAGCCAAAATTAGCCGGCCGTGGTGGCGGGCGCCTGTCATCCCGCCTGCTGGGGAGGCTGAGGCAGGAGAATGGCTTGAACTCTTGAGGCAGAGGTTGCGGTGAGCTGAGGTCACACCACTGCACTCCAGCCTGGACGACAGGGTGAGACTCTGTCTGGAAAACATAAATAAATAAACAAAAGTCGCTGCGTGTTACACAGCCGAGGCAGGCTTTGTATACCTCCGTCGCCGGAGCTGTGTTCCGTTTCCTTTTTGGTGTCCATGCTAAGCTTCGCATGTTCCCAGGCCGGTGCTCCCAGGGATGCTGAGTTCGTTGTTCCTACTGAATATCATT